TACCACAGACTCTCACTGTTCTTCCTGAATTCTAGTAGATTTTCTTGAGAAAATGTTTCTTTGTTTGCTGCATGTCCTTGGGACCATTTCCAGAGACTTTAAATGCTGGGTTATTTTTAAAAAAAAACAATTTTTACCAGTTATGCTGGGGTGCAGGTCCATGGAGTTTCTCTCTCCGCTGCGTTTGCTGCATGTCCTTGGGACCATTTCCAGAGACTTTAAATGCTGGGTTATTTTTTTAAAAAAAACAATTTTTACCAGTTATGCTGGGGTGCAGGTCCATGGAGTTTCTCTCTCCGCTGGAATCCCCTTTCATTTTTATTGATAAAGGTGTTTAAGGGCTATGATTCCTCCTCTGTTCATTGCTATTTAATTATCCCATGGACTGTGAAATGTTTTCTTTATCATTATTTTTCAGAGAGTCTATTCCCCTTTGAACCATGAGTTATTTAATAGGTTTTGTGTGTGCCTTAGTATAATCAGTTTTTTGAATTTCCAATATGTGCTTGAGAAGGTTTTTTTCTATGTCAGGGTTTGTATATACTCAAAGTAACTACCGTTATGGATTATGCTGTATAGATCTTTTATATATTATCTTTTTTCCTCTTGGCCTGTTTTTTTACTGAGAGTGGTATATTAAAGTCTCCAATTATTAATTTGTTTCTATTTCTCCTTGCATCTCTGTCATTTGTCTTACATAGGTGATAGCTTAATTATTTCATGCATAGATACTCATAACTGTTATATCTTCATTGTAAAGTGTGGCTAAATCCTGCCCAATTAGTAATAATTTCACATAATCTTCTAATCAATTTAGTTGTTCATTAAAAACTGTGTTAATACAGTATAAAAACATTGAAACAAATTTGATTTGTCCTACACCCTACTCTCATTTCCTCAAAAAGAAAAAAAACCTTTCTGTTTTTATTTGCATTCAATAGTTGCAAAAGATCTACCTGTAGATTCATTGGAAAGAGAAGATTTTGAGAAGGAATTCTCATTTCTGAACAACCTCATAAGTCCTGGTTCTTCAAGTACAAGTACAAGAGAATTTACCCAAGAATGCCAGACTGACTTTGGGAGGCCCAGGGCCAGTCTCACGTCCCAGGGGCCTTCTGTGGGGTCCGAGCCTCTTGCTCATTCCTCTCGATTCCTTCCTTCAAGACTCTTTGACATCGGCCTTCATGCTGCTGGAGCTTTTAACAGTAAGTGTCTATGAAACATTTGGAGACACGTGTCTTATTTTACCTTTGTGAAGCAAAACTATGTGCTTGCTTTCAACAAGGAAATTGATTTTAACTTCAGTACTACTAGATAAAATCAGCAGTCACACCAATCAACTGGAAAAATATCAAATAGAATCACCACTGGAATCTGTCAACAAGCCTGAAACAAGGGTTGCTTCCCTTCCACCTCCACCAAACCCCACATTTTCTTCATTGGCTTTTTCAGGTGGCTGGTTTAAAACATCTCACCTGCTAAGTTAGTTTACCTTGGGCAGGTGATACTGTTTCTTCCATCAAGCAAAACTTGGTGTGTCCTCTTCCTGTGGGTTCAAAGTTGACAAGAGAAAAAGGAACAGTTCTGGAGTCTAGTTCCATTCCTGCTGGAATGGAGGACTGTGGGAGAAAGCTGGGGGCAGAGGTTTTCCTGAAGAAACCTGTTTTGTTAACATCAAAAGCTCCTACTCACCTGCTCTTCCACCATCCTGTGTGCAACTCTGCACATCTGGGAGTCATTTTGCTCCCTACATCCATTTTGCTTACCAGGTCCTGTCAATTCTGTTTCTGAAATGTATTTCAATTTCCCATTCCTCCTCTCTGCCTCCACTACCAGAGCCATTTAGATCCCCATTTGGTTTCCTGGGTTGCTGCAAGAGAGCTCCTAACAGGTCTCCAACCCCCAGTTCATACTCCACACTTCCTCCAGAGTTCTCTCTCCAAGAAGCAGATTCTGATGTCAGCACCCTGCTTATATTTTTAAAAAACGAAGCACCCTCGATTCCAGAATAAAACCTGCCTGTGCCTGCATTTCCACCCTTACCTACTACTACCTTACTTAAAAATACTTACCATTCTCTGTTACCACATTGAGTACTTCCAGGTCCCTCAGGCATTTTGCTTGTGTTGCTTCTTTCACTTATGATGGTCAGTAATGGAGCTTGGACTTGAGCCTGAGAATTAGATTTCCAATCCAGTGGTTTCTCCAGGACTGCCAATCCTCAAAGCCTCCCTTAGTACTGCCAAATGGAAGTGGTTTCTTCCTCCTCTGGCCTCCCATAGTGCTTTATCTGTTTCCATGGCTACAATCATAGTTTATCTTGCTTTATATATCCCTGTCTCTCATCCCTTAGTAGATTTTAATCTCAGACAAAAGCCCTCATGGCACTTAGCAGTGTCCTAATGCACTGCACTTTGTATTAAGATTCTTATGTTCATATTTTATCTACTAGCATCACAAAGGCATGATCTGTGGGTTGACTCATCTTTGTGCTTTCCATGACAGCAGCATACAGTTAGCTCAATACATGAAATGAACACAGTAAGACTTTGTTGAACAGCCTAAAAGAAAGAATGGGCAGTATTATTTGACAAAGGGGCACTCTATCCAGGATAATTCAGGAATCGTGCCATAGTAAAATTTTAGAAAATGCTTATTCTTGCATGATGCCATGCAATCATGTACCAGTAGTTATAAAGATTTACAACCCGATTCATTCTCCACTGTGAACTCCTTCTCTTTGACTTGCCACATTTCTAGCAGCACTGGATTTTTCTCTTAGTTTCTGACAACACAGTACCAACAATATTTTTTCATCTCTCAAAATATTTGATCTGGGTACCAGCCAGCTGCCAAAAAAACCAAACAAGCAAAACACATTTGATCTGGTCCCTGCCTACAGGTGGGCAGGGTATTCCCATTTAATAGCTGAAGCAGTTGAAATCCAGTGTTTGAATGACTCGCTCTAGATCATCAGGCAGTTTAAACAGTTAAGAGGGGACCAAAATTTGATTTCTTGCCTCCGAGTACAGGACTCTTTACTTTACCAGTCTTTCTTTTATGTCCACTTCTTTTTTTCCTGTGTTGTAGACCAGGACAGTGAGCTGCACTGAGAGTTAAAGATCTGTGTTCTAAGAACCCCATCCTACTTGGGCCTCAAATGATCTCTTCTGTGAAAGGAAGAGATTAAGCAGGATAATCCAAGTTCCTTTCCAGTGCTGTTTTAATTATAGCATAAACAGCTTTTCATATTGTAGCAAACATTTCTCTGTGTTCCCAGATATTCATAATGACACTTTTTAATTACGTAATATTTTGTCACTTTATACACCATACCCTACTTAATACTGTCCTATAAATAGCTAGGAGAGGGATTAACAACTCTAAGGGTATAAACATTTTTATAGGTTTTAATGTTCTAATTCTCAGGCCTATTCCTTTTCTCCTTGACTGGTTAGAACTTCTCTTTCTATACTTTCGCCATTTGCAATTGTTCAAAAAAACCTATATATTTATTTCAAAACGACTTTGAAAAATTTAAGGAAGTCTAATTTAACTCTAGCTGGGACTCAATTTAGATGAATGAATAAAGTACATAATTGGAAACAAATGTTAAGTGTTTTATACCTCTTATAATGTAGGATCTTACCCTGGTACGAAGACTAGGACTTAGATGTCTTTACCTTTTCTTGTTTTTCTGATGCTACTTCCTACTTGACTTGATTAATAATGGTTAATTCTTACTTCCCTCCCCCCAGGCTGGGCCTCCCAAGAGGGATTAAAACTTCCTCTTTCACACATTGACAACCAGCCAGTGCCTTCAGAGTCCAAAGAAATTAACAAGATCTAAGTTCCTTATATTCTTTGCCATTGCATTAAGAATCACTTGAATTCAGATAAATTTAGAAAAGAATCAGTTTATAGTTTTTGCCTCATATTGTCCAGAAAAATATATATATATTTTTTTCCTTTTTGTCTTTTTTCGTATCCGGCAACGGATCGCAACCCTCAGTGTCGCACCCGTACCGGACCGGGACCGGCAACGGGATCGCAACCCTCGGTGCTGCGCCCGCACCTCGCTCAGCCAGTGAGCGGGAACCGGTCTGTATGTGGGATCCGAACCCTCGGCTGCTAGCACTCCCAAGCGGCGCACTGTAGCAGTGCGCCACCGGGCCGGCCCCAGAAAAATATTTTGTTAATGAGTTATTATTAAAGTGAAAGCTATACCTGGCTGTTGCTTACCATGGAAAGTACTGAATAGAAATTAGGAACTTGTCATAGTATACTGTATTCTGTACTGTAATCTTTTATATTTTGTGTTAATGTTTATTGATAATGGATATACCACTCAGGATAGAAGATGCTTTTTGATTACAGGATGCCTATTGACAAAAGAATGCAGTCAGACACTTAAGATGGTTATTGTCAGTTCAGTAGTGTTAAGTATGTTCACATTACTGTGAAACAGATCTTCAGAAAATTTTCATCTTGTAAATCTGAAACTCTGTACCTATTAAACAACCCTCCTTTCCTCCCTCTCCTTGACCCCTGGTAACACCATTCTACTTTCTGAGTTTGACTACTTCAGATACCTCATACAAGTGGAATAATGCAGTACAGTCATGTGTCCCTAAACAACAGGGATATGTTCTGAGAAAATGGGTCGTTAGGCAATTTAATCATGTACAAATATCATAGAGTGTACTTATGCAAACCTAGATGATATAGCCTACTCACATAGCTAGGCTATATGGTATAGCTGTTATAATCTTTGGGGAACGAGACACTGTTATGCAGTGCATTACTATTTATTTTGGAACTGGCTTATTTCATTTAGCATAACATTCTCAACGTTCATCCTGTAGCATGTGACAGGATTTCCTTCCTTTTTAAGGCTGAATAATATTCCATTGAATGAATATACCACATTTGGTTATCTGTTCATCCATGGGTCACATTTTAAAAGTAGCCTTATTGGTATATAATTTACTCCTTCCACTGACCCTCAATACTCTGATGTAAACAAGAGGCCTCTCTTCTTCCCCAATTATTTATCTATTTATAATCAGTATAGATTTGTATTTTTTTCAGTGGTTTAAAATCATTACTGTACTTAATCAATTTGGTGCTCAAATTGCTGATGTATTAGCCAGAGAGAGCCCTTTCATGCTGAATTCTGAATCCTTGTGATACCAATATTTTAAATTTTTGAAATAATTTCAGTCTTATAGGAAGGCTGCAAAAGTAATACAAAGTATGTTCTTCACTTAGGTTTCCCAAAATATTACCATGTTTGTTTTACATTCTCTCTCTAAATTTCTTCTGAACTGAAATAGTTTAAGCAGCAGACATAATGCTCCTTTATCATTAAATACTTGTGTCTATTTCCTACAACCAAGGACACTCTTTTGCATAATTAGAATGATCAAAATTAGGAAATTGTTATCATCATACTATTATCTAATATATAGACCTTATTCAAATTTTTCCAATTATTCCATAATGTCTTTTATAACAAAAGAGAAAAAATTTTTTAGTTTTTCCTCGTCCAGGATCCAATCCAGGATCACATATTGCATTTAGTTGTCACGTCTCTTTAGTCTCTTTTAATCTGGAACATTTCCTTTCTCTTTTTCTTTCATAACCTTGACTTTTCTGCAGTGTACACGTCACTTATTTTGTAGGATATTATCCCTTATGTTGGCTTTTTCTGATGTTTTCTCGTAACTAGATTTAGATTATGCATTTTGGCAGGATTAGCAGCACAGGAACGGTGTTATGTATGTTGGCTTTTTCTGATGTTTTCTCGTAACTAGATTTAGATTATGCATTTTGGCAGGATTAACACAGGAACGGTGTTATGCGTTCTTAGTAAATCATATCAGGAGGTGAATGATGTTTGTTTTGTCCTATTGCTGCTGATGTTAACTTTGATCAATTGGTTAAAGTGGTGTCTGCCAGGTTTCTCCATCGTAAAATCACTACTCTATTTTTCCCTTTGTAATTAATAAGTATCTTGTGGGAAATATTTTGAAACTGTGTAAATGGCTTGTTTTCTATCAAAGTTTTACCCACTAATTTGACATCTACTGATAATTCTTACATGAAACACTTATTACTATGGTTGTTGCCAAATGATTTTCTATTTTCTCATTGCCTCTACTTTTATGAGTTAGCATTCTACTGTATGGAAAAGCTCTCCCCTTCCCCCCCCATTTATTTACTTACTCGTTGATATTTATCAGTGTGGACTCTTGGAATCCTATTTTATTCTGCCAAATACTTTGAGGTAAGTCAATATGGGAATCCAGCAATTCGAAGCCAATTACAGGTTCACACTGGCAGATTCAGAATACAGCCCTCCCTCAGGGACTCAGACTACTTATGTTTTTCTTTTTTAAACCCAACTAAAATTGAGTTTGTGCCTAATCACTGATAATAGAGACTACAAAGTAAGTAAATCTCAGAAACATACACAAAACAGAGTTATTCTGAAAGGTGCTATTCACCTATAATCTTTGAGGCTGATTTTTGACTCAGACTACTTATGTTTTTCTTTTTTAAACCCAACTAAAATTGAGTTTGTGCCTAATCATTGATAATAGAGACTACAAAGTAAGTAAATCTCAGAAACATACACAAAACAGAGTTATTCTGAAGGTGCTATTCACCTATAATCTTTGAGGCTGATTTTTGGGAAAAATAGGGAAAAAGAGAAAGCTCTCAGCAAAATGCTACAATAAAGCTAAGCCTGAGAATTTTAATAAAAATTGAAATTCTTAACTTTAAAATTCATTCATTAAGTGCCCCACTTTATTAGCCATTAAGGAAGTGCAAATTAAAAAGTGCAATACTAATACCCACCTACCAGAGTGGCTAAAATGAAAAAAATAATTCCACATGTTGACAAGGTTGTAGAAGAGCTAGAATCTCATACATTGCTTGTAGGAGTGTAAATTGGTATTATTGTTTACTTAATTTACCATTACCAAAACTGTTTGGCAGTTTCTACTGAAATTGAACATACATACAAGTGTTCTTCAAAAAGTTCATGGAAAGATTTATATTATCTCTTAATTCTATTTTTCCATGAATTTTCTGCAGTACCCTTGTACACCTTATGATCAAGCAGTTTCACTCCTAAGTCGATATCCGACAGAAAGGCATCTATACGTTGAACAAAATATATGCAAAAGAATGCTATTGCAACACTGTTGCTAATTTACTCCAGTGCTCCCTGGGGATGGGGGAGACGGGGGTGAATAGTAACTGGAAGGTTCTCAGGAGGGGTACTTCTGGGGAGTGATCATGTTCTATTCCTTGATGCTGGTATTGTTTATGAAAATTAGTTAGGGCTGACCAGTTAGCTCAGTTGGTTAGAATGTGGTGTTATAATACCAAGGTCAAGGGTTCGGATCTTCATACAGACCAGCTGCCAAAGAAAAGTTATTTGGGCTCTTTTTCTCTATATGTATATTATGTAATTCATTTTCTATTATTTGCTATCCTATAAGAATCTCTAGAAGCAATACTAGTGTACACAAGGAGAACCCCATAAAAAATGTAATTTAGACCTTCATTTCCCATTGTGACTGATGAATATAAAACCACATTTGCATATGCTGTATAACTTTAACATACTTGTCAGAACTCCTCAGTGCTGCACAAGGGAGGTCAGGTATTACTGTAGTAACCACCTGTCCTAGCTGACACCTATTCCTCCAGCAAAGTTATTAACAGCCTCCTTGTTCATTGTAAAGTACCCTGATTTAATGATAAATTATATGGTTATTACTTAACAGAAGAGGAAACAAGAATCCCTGAGGTTAGACTTGCCTAATATTACTCATTAGTGGGTAGTATTGCTCAGGATTCAATGCCATAACTGGTGTGGGTATCACTGACACTACCTTAGGGTCCCCAGAAACAAAACTAGACACAAACTGACTGAAGCTTTTCACTCTGCCCTGATCCTTCGGGCTTAGGATCCCACAGCTCAAACCTCAGCCCTCTGGTTTGTGGAAGGTGTTAACCGTGATTGTTAAGAGGGTTGCTTTGACTCTTCAGAGTGGTACTGACTTCTAGCTTCTGCCCACTGTGACTCTGGCCTCATCTCCAGTTCTTAGATTGTCCTCTGGGTCTCAGCCCTGTTTTCTGGACCCTTTGTCCCTTAAGGGCCTAGTCTTCTGAGATGTGCCACTGTGCATTCTTTATCAGTCCTAGCCCTCAGCCTACATGTATATCCTTGAATATTTGCCATAGTTCACTATTGATACATAAAAATTTTCGGTCTCCACAGGGAAACGAGAAGGATTTGATTAAAAAGAAATTGTATCTGGGACAAAACTCTGTAAAATATTATTATATCAAAAAGTTTTTAAGTACACATGAAAAAGACAAAGGAAAAAACCATAAACCAAAATGACAACTATTGGGTGCGTTAATGTGGTGGATTAGGGGGATTTTTGTCCCCGTACGTCTAATATTTTTCTAATACTCATATTACTTTTATAATAAATATGAATAGATTTTAAGCACTGAGTTTACAAATATAATCTCTTACTTGGTAGGAACAAAGGTTACTTTTGATTTTAAACCTTATCTGAGAGCCTCCTATAAATTATCTTCAATGTCTCTAAGGTTACATATTATTGCCTGCCTTTTCACTTATAACTTGGGTCCTTTCTCGGAGCAGCATGCAATTACAGACTGTCCCTTACTTAACGATAGTTCAACTCCAATTTTTCAACTTTATGATGGTGTTAAAGTGATATGTGTCCAGTAGAAACCATACTTCGAATATCTGTTCGCTATTGTTTTTCACTTCAGTACAGTATTCAATAAATTACATGAGATATTTAACACTTTATTATAAGATAGGCTTTGTGTTAGATGATTTTTCCCAACTTTAAGCTAATGTAAGTGCTCTGAGCACATTTAAGGTCAACTAAGTTAGGCTAGGCTGTGATGTTCAGGAGGTTAGGTATATTAAGTGCATTTTTGACTAACAATAGTTTCAGCTTAAAATAGGTTTACCAGGACATAACCCCATTGTAATTCAAGGAGCGTGTGTGCTTAAATATAGGAGCCTCAGCAAAGTACAAAGTATCTGCACTAGCTTTTAAAAACTATTCTTAAGGGGATGTATATATAATTGAGATTTTATTATTGTCAGTTATCCTAATTCTTTTATTCAAAAGTATCTACTGCAAAATCATAAAAGTGGTACAAAAATGATTTCGAAAAGCTGAAACTATTTAATGTGTTTCTTTTCTTTTTTAATAGCTTCCAACAATGGTAACCAAGACATGTCAGCCTGGTTCAATCTATTTGCAGACTTGGATCCACTTTCAAACCCAGATGCTATTGGACACTCGGATGATGAACTTCTTAATGCTTGACTGAAGTTATGTCATTTGAACAGACTTGAGACATCAATTTTGCAACACACTGCCTTTGTGGAAAGGAGTTTATTATCGTAATCTGCACACCAAAGCATGGTGTTTGTGAATATACCACCTGTCAGCCAACTTTTAGACAGATGGTAAGGACCACATTTGAATAGATAAAGTAAATCTTTTTTTTTTTTTCCTTTTTTGTCTTTTTTCGTGTCCGGCAACGGATCGCAACCCTCAGTGTCGTGCCCATACCGGACCGGGACTGGCAACGGGATCGCAACCCTCGGTGTTGCTCCCACACCTCGCTCAGCCAGTGAGTGGGAACCGGTCTGTATGTGGGATCCGAACCCTTGGCAGGAGCGCCACCGCACTCCCAAG